CCCGGCCCCGGTGCGGGCCCAGGAACCGCCGCCGCCCAGCCCCAGCCTCCGCTGGGGGTGCTGCGGGCCCGGAGCCGGGGCTCGGAACGCGGCAGAGATGCTCGGCTCGTCCCCGGTGCCCCGGAGGCGATACCTGCCCCCTGGGCCTCACCAAGAGATGGGGGTTCGGGCCTGGGGACAGGGCCCGGTTCCCCCCGTTGCCCCGGGACTCTCCTGGATACAGGCCCCAACCCCCCCGCAGGGTCCCCCGGGGCTTTCCTGGGTTCGGGGCCTGGTTCTCCCCTCAGGTGCCCCGGGGCTCTTCCGGGGACAGGCCCCGGTGTGTGTGTTGTGCCCCAGGCTCTCCTGGGGACAGGCCCCGGTCCCGGCCGTGCCCCGGGGCTCTCCTTGCCCGGGCGCTGGGGTGAGGATGGCGTCTCACACCTGGAGCTGGGGGTCCCCGTGCCCCCGTCCGGGGTCTCTCTCTCCATCTGCCGTTGTGTTTGGCAGCGGGGCTCCTTGGCTCGTGGCTCCCATCCTGCCCTCAGCGTCGCTGGCTGCTCCTCGGCGTCGCGGTTGGACAGGGAGGGGAGCAGAGGCTCCTCAGTCCCCCATCATCGGTCGAATTGAGAGGTTTATCCTAAACCTACCCGTAGCCATCGTCCTCCCTGCTGGTTGGTGCCCACCCCTTTGGCTGCTCTGACTCTTTGAAGGATCATCTGGTTAGACCTGGTGTGTCGGTCGCCTTCCATGTAACGAGCAATATGGTCTCGTATTGTTAGCGGTGCTGGCGCTGGTTCAACAGCTTCTTCCTCTTCCTTGGGAGCGAGGAGCACTGCCTGCCAGGCTCTTGCTCATCCTTGTTCTAGAGCCTTGTATAATGCCTTCCAAAGATGGCACCAGATATTTGGGCACTTTCCAATCCACGCGCCAAAAGCACTGACTTCATAACGGTAGGCAGGAGGCGAGGCGCTCCCCTTGTTTTCACCCTGAAACCTCCCAGGGCTCTGGTTGCTTCCAAATGGGAAGGTCGAGGGGGAGCTTGTCCTGGAGCTCGGCCCGGCTCCCGTTATGGGAGGGAGATTTTTTGGGGCGATGAAAGGGAATGGGTGCCATTGGGTTTGTCTGTAAACTGCATGGAGCTGTGGGTGATCTGTTGGGTTTTGTGTTGTGTCCAGTTCTGGGCTCCCCAGTTCCAGAAGGACAGGGATGTTAGCGGTGCTGGCGCTGGTTCAACAGCTTCTTCCTCTTCCTTGGGAGCGAGGAGCACTGCCTGCCAGGCTCTTGCTCATCCTTGTTCTAGAGCCTTGTATAATGCCTTCCAAAGATGGCACCAGATATTTGGGCACTTTCCAATCCACGCGCCAAAAGCACTGACTTCATAACGGTAGGCAGGAGGCGAGGTGCTCCTTGTGTTCTCTCCCTGAAACCTCTCGGGGCTCTGGTTGCTTCCCAAATGGGAAGGGTGAGGGGGAGCCTGTCCTGGCTCCCGTTATGGGAGGGAGATTTTTTTGGGCGATGAAAGGGCATGGGTGCCATTGGGTTTGTCTGTAAACTGCACGGAGCTGTGGGTGATTTGTTGGGTTTTGTGTTGTATGATCTCTAGAGGTCCCTTCCAACCCTATGGGATTCTGTAGAGGTTTTTCAGGTCCCTTCCAACCCCATGGGATTCTGTAGGGGTTTTTTTCCGTTCATTTGATCCGAGTTCCTAAGGAAATAAGGCTATTGTGGCTCAAATTGTGTGTGTGTGTGTGTGCATCCTAACAACCCCTGGACCTGCTGCCTGATTAAACCCAAATTGGTCAGAGCAGGAACGTTCTTAAAGGCACTTGAGTCACCGTGTGTTTGGAGAAAACAAATGAAAGGGATTCTGTAATTCTGTAAATAGTCTGAGTGTGAAGAGGGAAAGTCATCCTTTAACCAACAAAATTCACGTAAGAGAACTTGTGAGTGACTACCTTGGGGGAAGTTTTTGGTTGAAGTTCTGCGCCCTGGAGCTGATCTGTGGTAAAACCCCAGGCAGCCTGTAGTCTGGGTGTGCTCAGACTGGTGCCTCGTGTATTGATTCATTGGATGCTGCTGGTGCTCTTGAAATGCCTCAACTGTTTTTGGGGATAAGTTGAAAGAGCTCGGACAGGAAACAGTCAGAGGTGAAAGAAAACTGTCCAGCTCTTTATATCTTGCAAATTTCCTTCTTAAAAGTCTGTCCCTTTTGCATCCCTGCACAGATCTGTTGTCTCGAACGTTCTGTGCCTCGAGGGCTGATGAACGCCAAGGGAGATCTTGACTAATTCCTGTTTCCTTTCTGCAGGGATATCATGTCCATTTACAAGGAGCCGCCCCCGGGAATGTTTGTTGTGCCTGATCCCCATGACATGACCAAGGTAAGAGAAGATTTGGAGCTGGTTCAACTTTCCGTTTCTCTGTATGATGCCATTGATGGCTGCTGGGAGGGTTTGCCCAAGTGGAGTATTCCCTTAATGCTTTGAGGGGAATCAGGGTGAGTCTTGCAAGAGCAGGAGGCTCCAGTTTTCTTGGTGACATTGAGATGGGCTGCATTTAAAAATGGGAGGAGGCTCTCAGGGAAACTGGCTCTGTGGAGAGATACCATCACAGGGGTCTGAGGAGCTTCCACAGATAAAACCAGCTCTGCTTCGGTGGCCCTGTAAGACCAGTAGGTGCTGATCCAGCTCGTTTCATCCTGCTGGTGCTTGAAAACAATCAATAGAGCACCTCAAAGAAGAGATTGCTCCATGGAAAGCTGTTGGCCATGGGGGGGCTTCTCAGAGAAGCTGGAGATGAGAATACAAGCAGTGCTGGAGTGTCTATAATCCTGTGGGACCTGGAGATGTTTAATGGTGAGCGGGTAGAGAGATGTGTCCCTGCACCCGGGCACTGTCCCACTGGGTTCTCACAGGTTGTGTCTAGGTCTGACCCACGTCACGGCTCCCACCACGTCCCCTCCAGCAGCCCCGCTCCCGGGGGACACGGGGAGCCCTCTCCTGCCCCGGCTCTTCCCCTCCTGGCTCCTGGGGGATTTTCCAGGACTGGGAATTTCCCATGGTGTCAGAGAGAGCGCAGGGAGCTGGGAGGCAGAAGTTGCTCAAACAAGTGTTCATCATCCAGTATGTGTCTTGGCTGGTGCTGCCCTTTCTCCAGCCGGTGTCACCTGCTCTGGCTCTGCTGGTTTCTGAGGGCTGGGTGTGAGGTTGCTTTGGTTTTTCCTCTGCTGCACACTTCTCCCACCCCCCTGGCACCCCCAAATTACCTCCCAGGTAAACGCCTGCCTGGATTAGGACCCCCCTGGGTTTTTGGAGGCAGCGCAAAGGGAGTGTCTCTGCACGACCTGCTCCTTCCTTGGGGCACTTCCCTGCAGCTCTGCCTTCCCTCAAGGCTCAAAGTGCCAAAATGCCCTTCAAGGGAAAGGCAAGTTTGTAGGAAACACCAGCCTTGGGGCGTTTAACTGAAATCCTGGGGAGGTCAGAGGATCCTTAAAGGAGAGTGCTTGGACCACTTGGGGAGGGAGCTTCCAAAATAGCCCAAAGGGAGTAGATTTCCTGGTAATACAATCGGGATCTTTGAGGGTAATTAGCACGGAGAGAATAGGGTCTTAATTCTGGATCCTGGCAGAGGAAATTGAGTGATTGGTTTCAATAGGAATCAGCATTTCAATATTCAAGAATCAATTTCAATTTCAAGTCAGAATTTCAATAAGAAATCAGCGTGAGACCATAAAATCGAGGAATGCTCTAGTTTTGGCAGAAATTCTGAAATTATTTTTTTTTTTTTCCTAAAATTAAATTTTTTTTTTTTTTTCATATTTAAAATTTTTTTTTTTTTTTTTTTTTAAAGCCTGGCTTACCAGCTGAGCTGTGATTCAGCCCGGTTGGGGCTGTATAGGGATGTATGGGAGGCAGCTGTTGTGGATTCTGGCCAAACCTTGCGCGTTTGG